CGATGGAAAAAATGTCACCTTGCGTTCTGCGCATCTTCGTAACTTTTATTTTTCAGCGCCGAAATTTCATTGGGCGCCCAAAAAATCAGCGCCAAAATGTATCGGCGTCAAAAAAGGGACGCCAAAACGTCGGCGCCAAAAAGTCGCATACCGATTAATAGAGCCTATTTTTTCTTTCTTCGTATTTCTCTCAGTTGTTTTTTTGGAACATTTGTGCCCTTTTCCCCCGAATCCACCTCTCTCTCCACAACCTAGCACTATAACCACAACCTATCCGTTACCTCTCCCTTAACCCTTTCGCTGCGCTAGATTGAGTAAGTTTGGAGTTCCGTTCTGATTTTTCGTTAGGCTTAAGCTGATTCGACCTCGACCTTAGAAAATTAGCTGGCGCCCGGCAACCTTTTTAGGTCCCGATTTTTGTCCGTGTTTTTTTTTGTATCGGCGAGGAGGCCATAGGGAGGAAGGACGAAGGTGACAGGCATTTTCGGTCGTGAGAAAATGTCACGTCACAAATTATTGCAATAAAATAATTCATCATTTTATTAGAAAAATGATTTATGGAGTCATTGGTTCAATTCACATCGAATATTTAAAAGCAAATAAATGAATCTTTTTGCTTTACTTCTAATTCGTTCAATTTTCGAATTTGCAACGAACTAGAAATCCCATTATGTAATTCCCACAAAGTGGAAAGTTTATTATTTCTTAAAATTAGTGGTCGATAATGTCCTTGAAGAAATTTAATAGCCCCGACTAATTTGTAAACTCTACCACCAAAGTTTAAACAAATAGGTAAATCTGTAAGTGATAATTGTTTTTCATAGTCTTCGTGGTAGTTTTAATTCCTAGCAAGACTGTCCCATTGTAACGATTCTAAGTCAATAAAAAGATGATCACCATGTTTGAAGGAGGTTGTTCTCTTTGCATTGCAAGTTTTACAGGATTCCCAATATTCCCGATTCAATTCACTTAGCGATTCTGGAAGGCCTGCTATACCGTTTTTATACAATGGACTTAGATCAATGTTCAAAGCTGTTACACTTCGTGAGGTTGGCCTATTGCGACCATGACAAGTTCTAATTGTGGCGAGGGAAGGTACATTCTTCAAAATTTCATCTGCTACATTACTAATATGATGCTCGCTTGAATGAGCGATGTTATTCCATTTTTCTTTTGACTGTCATCGTAGTCATCAAAATCGCTACTATCTGCACATATCCTCCAGAATTTCCTTGATTTGATCCGCTTTAAGAACTGAAGTCTTCATGTATTTTTAAAGCAACGTTTGAGCACGGAAGTAAAGATCTTCAGGATTGTCTGTATCAACCTTAGAAGAGAGTGCGATAATTAACGTAGCATGTAGAGTTGACTTGAACGATTCTAAGTCCGTTCGGTGAATTGATGTTCCATCCGCTCGGACAAAGAAATCTTTTATGTGCGGTCGATCTTTTGGGAAGCATTTCCATTTCCCAATCATTCTAAGAAGGTGGACAATATCCAAACGTAAGAGTAGATACACATGCGAAGAAGATAACTGAGAAAATCCTTCATTTAAATACTTTTCTAGGCTGCATTGGTTGAATGCCATAGAGATAGCATTCAGCTGAGCAACAGAGTGATCTGAGATGATTTATTTTGGGATTTTAGCTCCTACCCGCAGTCATTCTCGCGAGAAGAACGCAATTGTATTCGCATCATGTTTCTCCGACATTATTTGAAATAAAGGGAATGTTTGTTTTTTACAAAATGTCACACCGTGATACAAGAATGTCGAGCTTTTTGAATTGACTTCTGCTTGCTTCGGCGAATGTGGGGGACTTGGTTTCAGTGCAATTGTCAAAAATTTTACAGTAGTGAGGGCAATTTTAATGAACGTTTTAATTAGAATCCAACATTTTTTCATCGATACAAATATAATGTTTTTCAACTCATAAAATGGAGAATAAACTTGAAAATTGAAAAAATCTTTCTGATGTACGTTTTCGTAAGCTCCCCGCCACCATTCAATGCAATAGTATATTGCTCACCTAGGGAGGAAAAGTAGACAAGTCCTTCCCACGTGCAAAATTACCACCCGAGCGGAAGGCGAGGGTGGTATGCACGTGGGAAATGCTTGTCTGATGATCCTCCCGAGGGTTACAGACGATTTTTCTGTCGATATTCTAACCTCACTTCGTTCGGTTAGAAACGTCACTTTCGGCGCATATAGGCAGAAAAAAAAATTATTATTTCATGTTATTATACTGGTTATGTTGGATCGTATCTTTGTTTTACTCCATGGAAAATTGACTCCACTTTGGAACACCATGCATCCAAGAAGCTGAGTGTTTTGTTTATCCAACGCGTACGTGCTCACCGGTAAACACACACAGCAACGTGAGCAGTTTTGTTCACATTTCGATCTCAATGTCAAATTTTCGAGTTTAAAATGATTCCACACCTTTGATTTATAAAAAATATTCATCTTTTGTTATTAGTTTGAAACCGTAACAATTTTGAAAAAATCTCTCCTCTATCTTCAAAATTGTATGTAGTAGTTCTAGTTATCGACCTCTCCTCCTGGAGCCTTGTCGATAGTTTCCTTCCGCTCGTATCTATCTGCTCTTTGCGAATGGGATTTTTCCTTTATCTAATCGGTGCTACTATTCTGTCGGTCTCCAGGGAGTATCGCTAGGGTTCCAGGTTCCCTAAAGTGCGTGGTGGCTCCTGAGTCGACGGTTTTTCCGATAGTTTGGTTGGTCTCTGCGCGCCTAACCTCTTCCGGTCACTGGATTCTGGATAATCTCCTAGCCTTTCTGTTTCGTTATGTTTTTTTCTCGTTGTCATGGCTATTTTAATCTTCTAATCATCTTCATCAATTATTTCCTACTGGGAGAGAGGCCGGAGTAGTTGAGGTTATCCTCGACCTTTTCCGTTCTTCTCTCACCTTCGATTTCGGGGTATAATTCTAACTAGCCTAATTATTTCTAGAGAGAAAGGAAGGTGAAGTTCCATTGTCTCAGTGGTTCCTTTAGTTTTATCCTTTTTTTTAATTTTCGGGATGATTATATTTAAGAATGATGCTGAACGTGCTTAAAATTATATAAATAATATGAAAGAAACATTTTTTGATCCAAACCTCAAGCGAGATTCTGAGCTTTGTACCGTGAAGTATTCTGGTCATTTTGAAACTTCATGCACCCAAATCCACTAGAAATTGTGGTCCAAGTCAATTTTGTAATGAAAAAAAAACGCAAATTCATACTGTTGACTGTTGTCCAACTCGTTCTATTTCTAGTCCAGCCAATCATCGTATTTTTCCAGTACGAAATTTTTCGGGCACTATGGATACCAAAGTTTTGCAATGTTCATCTGACGTGAGAAAAAAAAATTTAATTTTACCGGCGTGACCCTTTAAGTAAGCCAGAAACACGAGTGTTAAGAAGTCCGGACGAGGAGCGTAGGTAATCGAGCGAAGGGTTCGCAGGAAAAATGTGAGGAAAATCAAACACGATAATCGAGTGAAAATCGCTTAGACCTCTAGGAAATTAGATCTCTAGAGAACCCAGAAACTCTAAACAGGCTCGGAGAATAATCTTCCCCGTTTATTGTACCATATAATCGATGAAATTATAAATCATATTTAACGAAAGAAAACAGTTTGCCTAGAGTGAAAGGTTATCGAGTAGATAAGCCTGCGAATTTAAGCAAGTTCTGCGAGATCGGCGGGCGATGGGGGGAGGGGGAAGGTAGAGGATATATCCATGATTCTGTCAAACCATCCCCTATTTCAGAGTGTATGGAGATAAAAGTAATTGGAGGAACCCGTAGGGAAGAACGGCGCCATTGGTTACGCAACTGGGTTCCGTAACGGGCATTTTCCTCCTGCTGGGAGCGCCCTGGCTTCGATTTGCAAGGATCTTGCGGGGATTTGGGCTTCCACCATCCAAGTTACCACCGGAGTGCATCAAAGACATTAAGTGCTGGCATTTTCCTCACTGTTCTGCTACAATAGTGTGCTTAAACTCCCATGATTGCGACAGACGTGCGATAGCTATTCTCATTGCCTGTGAGAAGCACATGTGTATTGCGTGAATAAAGTTTTGACATTTGTTTCTTGCCATTCTTCTTTTCTAAGAAAGCACTACACAGTGAAAGTAGTTTTAATAGGGGTAAGGGTCGGAGTCATAGAAAAGCAATCCACACCTGAAAAAATGGTTATAATATATTCGCCGGCGGTCGCCAAATACCACGCTACGGTACTTACGCTCACAATGGGAATATTAGATGGATAGTATATTGCACATCAAGGGCGGAAAGTCATAAGTCATGTTTTCCCCCATGAGGTGCACATGCTCTTTTCCAACACACCTACATGAAATGTTCGCACTTTGCTCCCTGATAAGCGGGAAGGAAAGGGAATAGTTTCCGCCCTAGGGTGGAAAGTTTTGACTTTTCGAGCTTGGCAGTATCTTCCTAAAGGCGGGACATGTTCGGTTGCGTTCCGCTCTTCAGACAGCAGAACACGAAGTTCCCTTTGCAATCATGTTGAAACAGTATATTCTGCGCCAAAGGAGGAAAACAAGGCATTCTAACCCGTGTGTGTATTACCGATATGAGGCGAAGTTGAGGGTGGTAAGGACGCGGGTTTAAATGTTCTTTTACCTTTCCTTCCTTTTCGCTCTTCATGCCGATAATATTTTTGCAATTGGATGAGCTCAATTGACGCGGTTGACATTTTTGGCGTTAGGTGCTCAAAAGTCGATCGTTTTCAGTTAATTAATTTATGTTCCCGATTGAACAGTGTGTAAACATTTTTAAATGTTGTTCAAGGCACTTTTACGTATCTATCGGTGTATCGGAGGCAAGTGGGAAGAGCAGATAGAAAATAAAAAATTAAAAAAGCGTGCAAAAACCATCAGAAATAATCTTTCGCTCTACTTACTTTGTGTTTTCATAAATTTTCATTTCCTTGTCACTCAGATTTGCCAATTGATTGTGTTCATTTATTATTGTTGCAGGATTTGAAAGCCGATATAGAATTCAACCCTAGTTTCCATCCAAATGATCAAACTGAACTATCTCCTTCAGGCCCAGACGTTGAAAAATTAGAGTTCAATGTCGACGATGTCATAAGAGTAACTGTGAATCAGGCGATAGCGAAATATAAAGACTGGGCTCAGAGTCGTTTATCAATAGATCACCACATATCCGAAGTATTCGGTAAAAAGCAGTGCAAAACGATTGGTATTAGTCCTGATGCAATGATGCAAATAGCATTTCAATTAGCTCTTTACAAACGTGAGGGAAGAGCAGTGGCTACATACGAATCCTGCAGCACCTCTGCTTTCAAACATGGTCGCACTGAGACAATAAGATCATGTACGAACCAAACCAAAGCTTTGTGCAAAGCGATCGTAGAGAATCGTTCCTGTAAAACATATGATTATGAGTATAAAAAGTTGATTATTCAGTGTAGTGAGGCACACAACGCGCTCACCAAACAAGCGGCTATGGGTCAAGGTTTCGACAGACATTTATTTGCATTGAAAAAAATTAACGAACAGAATGAAAGTGGGAACCTTGCATTAATTTTCAAGGATCCAGCGTACACTAAAATGAATCATAATATTCTATCGACTTCTACTTTATCCAGCCCTCACGTCCTGGGAGGAGGCTTTGGTCCTACTGTGGAGAATGGCTATGGTATCGGTTACATGATTCAAGATAATCGACTTGGATCAGTTGTCACGAGCTACAATAATCATCGCGATGCGACAGAATATATAAGGTATTTGAAATCAGCCTTTGAGGATATTCATCAAATTCTGCAAGCCAAGTGAATTAGCCTTGATGAATTTTTATAATTTGGGATATATTTGTAAAAATGAATAAATTGGGTGGTGCCAAATGGTATGATTAGTATGTCTTTTAGGAACCCGTCCCAGTACCCAGTCCCAGTCCCAGTACGCAGTATCACGGCATAATTCCCTACTCGCCCTTCTCTCTAGTTCACTTATAATGAACTCTACAACCTATCAGTTCCTTTTCCGACGATGGAAATTTTCTCATCATTGGGAGTCGAACGTGCACTACTGGAATGCTCTGGTCATAGGGCCAGCCCGCTGACGACGGATGTCCTCGTTTTTAGTTGTATTTGACTTGTTTTTATTCAGATTCATTTGTTATTTCTCTAATAGAACATTGGACTTCAAGGAAAAATTGTAAGTAATTTAAGCAGACGATAATGGCTTTTTGTGAATTAAATTGAAATTAGTGTTAATAACGCGTAATCATTCTAGAGAGGATTTTATTAATGACTTTTCCAATTTTTCAAATTCTATCGCGTTTTTTTAGTCTACTTAAACTTATTAACATCTACTTAATACATATTAATATTGATTTACATAATATTTTTGTTCTTGATATCCTAAGCATGAGTTGTCGGGGGGATAATTTGGAACTCCCCCCGTAATTAAGTATTTCTGCCTACATGCGCCGAAAGTGAGCATTCTAACCTCACTTCGTTCGGTTAGAAACGTCACTTTCGCCGCATATCGACAGAAAAATCGTATGCAAGCCTCGGGAGGATAATCAGACAAGCATTTCCCACGTGCATACCACGTGGTAATTTTGCACGTGGGAAGGACTTGTCTACTTTTCCTCCCTAGGTGAGCAATATAATATTCTACCGAAAAGGCCGAATAGTGGCGCCTGCGTTCGCAGTTTGAAAATTATACAGCTGAAATGTCATTTATCCGCATCAATTTATATCATAATTTCTCTGTAAATATTCACCAGTAAAACTAGATTTTACAGCATCTGGCGGCCATCCAGCTTTATGTTTTACCGGTAACCCTTTCGGTTACTTCCAGTGGGATTGCTTATGTCCTCTCTCGGTTCATTCTCCATTTCTATCGCCGAGTGCTTCCTTATACTTTATCTCGATGTTCTGACGGGCCCATTGGTTTTTGCGGTAATGCTAGATTTCTATATCAGGATAATTCGACACAGTAACTTACTAGCTGTTCAACCGATCAGCCTGAAATTCTGACTTGAATATTGGTTGACTAATTTTTACTTTTACATGTCGTCTAAATTATTTTATTTCGTGATGCAAGCGAGAACAGCATGATAATTTTTAGCGAGTATTTAAAATGTTTCTATCTTTGTTTGTTAATTTAAGCAAGATTAAATATTTTATTACCAAGCAATGTTCAATTAATTCGGAAGGGAATAAACGTAGCCATTTCTTAATAGGGCAATAACTGCAACTCAGCTGCCTCCGCGGGATAGATATTGATTGGTCGGCAGCTGTCCTTAAAATTATTTGTAATTTTTTATTCTTACTCGTTTTATGGAAAAATGTTCTGACGCTCGACTTCTGTAAGATTGCTTTGTCGCCGAGGACTGCCTATCGTTGTTTCTTCTTCCGCAGAAGGCAAAACTACATCACATCATATATGTATATGCTCTTATATTATACTCTCCGCACATATATAGATATCTAGTTATGTAATGAAGATTTTGGAGACACTTGGGATACCTGTCTTCGATCATTCGAGATACTCATTATATATAACAAGGACTGCACACGGCGCCTATCTTTCATTTTTTCCGCTTCTTTTGACCCAAATACTAGCATATGCCTAATATAAAACATATTGTGGAAATTGCATATTGGGGCCTACGACAATCAATAATTGGATAGCTGCTCTGGGGACGTATAAGTTTTTTTTTTGAGGTTTTACTGTAAGGACGTTTGGAATTAGTCCATTTTTCGCATTTGCTCGCACTTCAACAGACGCAACGGATATTGAGTTTACTTGTTGGTAAATTTCGTCTTTTAGCCCTGATCATACATGTTGGATGGATTAAAAAAATTGACAACACTAGTGGAGGAGGCTGGGGTACAGGACATGGAATTAGAAATCACCTTTGCTGACTTGTTCTTAAAAGAAGAGTCGCTTTCGATTATTTGCTAAAAAGATTTCCTCGAATCAAGATTCATCCTAGTTATTGACAGAACACAGTGAACCGTCTTTTTTTCATGAAATTCATCAATTCCAAGGCAGACATTATAGACGAGGGAGGGCCTTTGCTATAATATGTCAATTTTGAGGACTTACCCATTCAAGAATAATTATGGGAGCTGTCATATATCAGTTACTTCAAGGACGGACAGAAATTATCAGGAACTCTATCATAGTATATTCAGTTTGAGAACTTACTTCCACATGGAAAGATAACTATCAGATCTTCCATGTATCTGTTACATCAAAGACTGAAAGAAATTATAAGGAACTATGCCATAGTATGTCTATTTGGAGGGCTTACTTCTGTATTTAAGGATAACTATGTGGACTTTCATATATCGGTTCCATTGAAGACTGAGCAAAATTTTTTAAACTTTATTATCGTTAGTATGGCTGATTACTGATGCCTGATTACTTTTATTCTATTTACCGCAATGGTCCGAACATGATTGAATACATTGATGAATGGTTTTCCAATTATTTTTGAATGTCTATCCATAAATTGAGATGTAGGTGGAATTGAGTAAATTCATTTCGGTTCTTTGTTCATCTATATGAGTTTCGGGGTTTGACGTTTTTATCCAGACATTTTTCTTTTGCGATCACCAAAACAATTCACATAACAAAAATACGTGTCCTGCTGAAGTCGGAGGAAGAGCTCCTACGGTGTCGATGGATATTCGTTCGAAGCATTCGCTTGGTGTTTCTGTTATTAGCATTGGCTGATTGAACTTTATTCGTCTGATCTTCTGCAGCTGGCAGATGCGGCATTTCTTGACCATTCGTTCGATTTCTTGTTTCATTCCGGGCCAGTAGAATCTTTCTCTCACCCTGTGGAAGGTGGTCACTATTCCTTTGTGTCCTCCAGGAAGAGTTTCGTGGCATTCCCGGATGATTTCGGGTCGCAGTGCCTCGGGGGGCATTCGGACGTTGCCGTGGCACAAGGTGATGGTCACAGGGTGGGCTTGGAATTCTTGCTCTAGGTAGTATCTGATTCTAATATCCTCATCGATTTCATCTCCCTTCATCACCATTTTCAGTTGCTTGACTTCATATTTTTCGATTGCTGTTTTTAGGTTTCGCAAGCAGAGTTTTAAGATTCTGTTCTGCGTTTTATCGAAGTGATATTCCTTTACAATGAGGGTGAAGATTCTGAATTTTCCAGATTTGGTGACGATGATTTGTCCCAGTTGAGGATTTAATTTTTTGATGTAGTCTAGGTCAATCAGGTTCAAGTCACCGAGAAGCTTGGTATTCTGTTTAGTGAATTCAGCATCTGCTGTCAAGAAATGGGCGATATTGCCTCGAACGAAGGTTAATCCATCCCTGGTTTCGTTGATATTTTTAGCTGGTTAATAGTCATCTGGTGGAATAGTAAGCTTATCTTCGGGTGGCCCTCCATTTTCCTGCTCTCCAGAGATTGGCTCTGATTGGTCAACATTGTTCCCGGACGGTTTGACAATTGCTCTTTCCTGTGATGAACAGTCTGTTGGGTTTGGATGATAGGGATACCCTGGATCCACCCCCGGTAAAGTGTCATTGACTGATTGTAGGAATGGAGGAAAGAGGATGTCTTTTGGCACGTCATCATCTATAAACATGGAGTTGTCGTCTTCCTCTTCTGTGCAGAGCTGGTTATGAGTCACGAGGTCCCTGTTTCCAATGGTTTTCGATGGTGATGACCCGGCTGTTGGGTTTTGAATAGCTCTTGGAGTTGGGACCAAGAATTCTCGTATGATCCTTGGTTTGGCAATTACCGAGTGTCGGGAGGATGATTGTTGGCTGGTTGCCCCCGATGGCTGCTCCGATGTGATGTTGTCGACCTGAGCTGTCTGATTGGAACCGTTCTGGTCAGGGTTTTGCGTTTCCGATGGAGTTGTGGGCTCGCCCTGTTCTCCCTTTCTCGCTCGTATCCTTTCCTCCACTTTATCCTTGAAATTGATGATAGCCTCGCGTAGTTCTTCGATTGTCATTTTATCGAATTTTTCCTTGGAGACCTCGTCTGTTGACTTGATGAGCGGTAAAGAGCGGTCCTCGTATTGGCGCATCTTTTCATTGAATTTTTCGTATGACTCGTGAAGGCTTTTGTTGAATTCTGGTCCTAGGCTAAGCTTCCGTTGATCGTTCAGGTTCGTGGGAATCGGTGATTCGAATTCCTCATCGGAGCTTTCCTCTTCTGGATGAGTTTCGTTATGGCGTTCCATAATCTCATCGAATTTTTTGAGGCTTTGGTGGATGCTTTTACAGTTAAAAGACTCTGGAGGAGAATCGGGTTCCTGATCTAGCTCGTCTTCCCAGTCTGTCGGGGGGGTCAGCTTCCACGATCATTTGTTGATTCATCAACGGGGTCTGTTCTGAGATAAACACGTCGTCTTCTAGTTCTTCAATTGAATCTCCTTCTAAGGACCCTTCCAATTTTGCTTTCTCTAGCGTTGTTGGATCTGGTTCTAGACGAGTATTCATTGGTTCTAATACGTCGTTGTTGGATATGGTTGCTTCAGGTACCTCAATGAGGGCTTGAGGCAGTGAAGCTGTAGTTGACTGAGTCCTTTGAGAAGTCCCTGAAGTCGCTTGACGTCGGGCTCCGGTCGTCGGAGTTGGAGTGGTTTCTTCAAGGGTTTCGACAATTGGTTGAAGACTCGTTGTAGGTGTTGGTGTGGTCTCCTCCGTGGATAGCTGTCCTGTTGGACTAGCTGGGTTACGGTTGGTGTTGCGACGGTATTCCTTTTTATCTCTATAGCTGATTGGTTTTCCGCTATTGTCAGACGTTTGGGTAGCCCTTCTGAGTCTAATTCTGTCGGCGATGGAGCTCTTGGTATTGATAACGTCAGGTTCACTGTTGATTCTGACCCTGAGGTTAGGGTTAGTGACTGTTCGTGA